ATGACTTACAAAACAATAGATTTTGAATCGCTGCGTTTTAATGTCTTTGAAACCGCAAATAACATACTCAATGATTTTTGTGACGTTGATACGCAAATCTTTCAAGTTAATAACTTTGATTCGCCTTATTTCAACATTAAAAATTTTAAAACTGAACTCCAAACTTTTAAAAATAACTTTTTGGCAATACACATAAATATAAGAAGTATAAATAAAAATTTTGATAAATTAAAACATTTTTTAACCGATTGCAATTACTCATTCAGTATGATTTGTCTGACAGAAACTTGGTGCTCTGATGAATCAATTCAAAAAAATTCCAACTTTCAAATTCCATATTATAAATTATTATCTTCTGAAAGGAAAGCAGACAAAAGGGGGGGAGGGATTGCAACATATATTCGGAATGACCAAGCAATAAAAGCAAGAAAAGACCTTTCGATTTCTGATTCCAGTTGTGAGGTACTTACAATAGAAATCACTAACTCCAAAACTAAAAATATCTTAGTTTCTACCTGCTATAGACCACCTGAAGGAGATATAAAAAAATTTTCAAGCTACTTGGAAGATATCTTTATTAAAATTAATAGAGAACAAAAAAAACTATTCTGCATAGGTGATTTAAATATAGATTGTTTAAAATACAAAAAGAATTCGACCACCAAACTTTTTTTTGACAACATGTTTCAACATTGTATCTTTCCGATTATCAACAAACCTACGCGAATAACCCCGAATTCAATTTCCGCAATAGATAACATCTTGACAAATGCATTTCAAGATTCCTCTTTAAAAACAGGTATAGTTAAAACCTATATTTCGGATCACTTCCCAATTTACTTTTCTATAAATCAAGATACAAGAATAAACAACAATTCTAAAACCAAAATTTATATAAGAAAAACTAATAAAATTTCTATTCAAAAATTTAAAGACACACTATCAATAGTGAATTGGGATGAAGTATATAAAAAATGCAACCTTGAGGACACAAACTCCGCATATAATACATTTATCGATATTTTTTTTAATCATTATAATAGTTATTTCCCGATCGAAGAAAAAATAGTTAAAGAAAAATATTTGAACTGTCCATGGATTACTAGTGGAATTAAAAAATCCTCTAAAACAAAACAAAAACTCTACATAAAATATTTAAAAAACAGAAATGAAGTCAACTTATCTATCTACAAGCAATACAAAAATCTCTTTGAAAAAATAAGGAAAAACTCTAAAAAAATATACTACTCAAAACTACTTCAAAATACCAATGGCGATATTAAAAAATCATGGAACATCATGAAAGAAATAATCGGGAAAAAAAATACCAAAACAAATACCTTACCTGATAGAATTGTTGTGGATGAAAAAGAATACAACGATAAAAGTTCTATAGCCGAACATTTCAACAGTTTCTTTGCAAACATCGGCCCTAACATGGCGTCCAAAATTCAATGCCCAAATACCTATTTTGAAACCTATCTTACAAATCAACAAAGCGAACTAAAATTCAATGGACTAGACTATGATGAACTCGAAGCTGCAAAAAATTCTCTAAAAGTTAACAAAGCACCAGGGATTGATGAGATTTCTAGCAACGTAGTAATAAGTGTCTTCCCGGTGATACGCAAACCCATATTCGAAATTTTTAAATCTTCAATTACAACAGGAACTGTTCCAGACAAATTAAAAATTGCAAAAGTTGTACCAATATTTAAATCCGGAGAGCAATGCTCACTTAATAACTACAGACCCATCTCAATCCTTTCTGTCTTTTCTAAACTTCTAGAACGAATAGTTTACAATAAACTATATAAATACCTAACTATTAACAATATTTTGAATAAAAAACAATTCGGATTTCAAAAACAACATTCAACCGAACATGCGATTATAGATCTTGTAAATAAAATAAATGACTCTTTTGATAATAACAAATTTGTTCTAGGAATCTTTATTGATCTATCGAAAGCATTCGATACTGTTGATCATGCTATACTACTTAAAAAAATGGAAAAATATGGCATTAAAAACGTTGCTTTACATTGGTTTGAGAGCTTTCTTATAAACAGACAGCAATGTGTTATTATGGATAAAAATACCCATTCAAAATTACTTAAAATAAAATGCGGAGTTCCCCAAGGTTCCATTCTAGCTCCCCTACTCTTCTTGCTATACATCAATGATCTTCCAAAAGTCTCAAAAAAACTTGATGCCATAATGTTTGCAGATGATACAAACTTATTTTATTCATCTACTTCTATCGCAGAACTCTTCGAAACTGCAGGTATTGAACTTGAAAAACTTAATACTTGGTTTAAATCAAACAAATTATCATTGAATACAGAAAAAACCAACTACATTCTATTTCACACCAATCAAAGGAAAAAATCTATACCAATTCCATTACCGTCTCTAAAAATAGAAAATAAATTTATCGAAAGAACCAAAGCAACAAAATTTTTAGGAATACTTATCGATGAGAATATTTCATGGAAAGCTCACATAAACTTATTAAATACCAAAATAAGAAACAACATTTGCATGCTTTACAAAGCTAGACCCATGCTACCCCAAAAAAATTTAAAGCTACTTTATTTCTCCTTCATTCAAACCTATTATACGTATGGTAATATAGCATGGGCAAGTACCCATAGATCCAACCTAGTGGCACTTTATCGACATCAAAAACATGCTGCAAGAATAGTATTTAATAAAGATAAATTTACTCATGCCGAACCTTTGCTAAAGCTTCTAAATGCACTAAATGTCTACAAAATTAACATTTACCAAAATTTGATATTCATGCTCAAATATAAACTCGGACTTGTCCCATTACATTTTTCAGAAGAATTTTTTAAATGCAATAGAAATAAATATGAAACTCGAGGAATAGGAAATTTTAAAGTACCATATAAAAAAACAAAACTATCACGTTTCTCCATCTCCTATCGCGGCCCTTACCTCTACAACAAACTAATAGCTAAAAATACTATAATTACAAAACTACTTAACCATAATTCTCTGAAAACACTTTTAAAAAAACTTGTTCTAAACTTAAACAATTTTACAAACGTATATTAAAACAAATAACTAAAAAACCCTAAAAAATCCACTTTAAAGCAAAGTAAATGTTAGATTTTATTTATATTTCGTACATGTCAATATACTAAGTATAACAAACCATGTAACTATATATTTATGTGTATCAAATACAGCTCTTTTCCGTTTTTTGTTTTTGATTATCTAGTAGCTTTTTATGTGTGACTCTTATGCCACCATAAGACTTTGACAAACTGAAATTTCTTAATAAATTAAGTATACAAAATATCGCAACTAAAAGCGGTTTCTTGATGACAAGACCAAAATGGTCTTCTGCAAGTTTCCCGCGTCTTTTAACAGTGTTACTTTTTTATATATATTATTATTTGTATTAAAAAAAGTTTTCTTATTATATGTACGGTATTTTTTTTATACAATGTAAACGAACTAGTTTATATTTATGATCACGTATTTGTAAAGCTTTGATAAAAGACAAAAAAAAAAAAAAAAAAAAAAAAAAAAAAAAAAAAAAAAAAAAAAAAAAAAAAAATTTTTTGTTTGAACTAGCCGATAAACAATGACCAAGTAACTCATATGAAGTATTTGCTATGTTTTTTTTTTTTTAAGTTTAAAATACCTTTAGTACTATTTGGTCAATATTTCAAAAAATTTAGTCAAACTTTGACATATAATATCTAAAATTCCAATTACCATTTTTTGAAATTTTTTTGAAATTAAGCTAAAATGATATAACAAATAAACATCTTCAATAAAGAAAACTATTGGGTTACAACTCCTTATTACCGGTAAACTAAATTAGTCCGGAAAACAAGAAAAAAAACCCAATGGTTCTCAGATTACTAACCAATTTTCCTTTTTATTAGGAATGCAACGTTAGTGCACTGGTGCTGAATTTAGTATATATTATATATTATTATGATATAACTAAATATTATATTTAAGACGAGTGTTATATCTATGATGTCCCTGGTTTTTATTTTTTTTTTAAATATTCATTTACTACATATGGATTTACATTACTATTGAACTGTCATTTGTCTAGGGCAGTTCACATAATAACTTACCAATATGTTTCAATAATTACTGTGAATTTAATAATACAATTCATCATTATAAACCTTGTGATATCTTTAAAACAATCGTTTAAGTATGGTATTAATTCACTTAAATATTAATGCATAATGTGATAAAATCATATACCCTCTCAAATCAAGGCGAAATATTTAAATACATTTTTTCTGCAGTTAGGAGGCGTAAATAAATTTTACAAAAGGTAAATTTTTTACTAATTTTTCCATCATGAGCAGAGAATTTTTAAACATAAAGGAATAATTATTGACTTCAGTAATTACATCGACTATCTTATAGCCTGCTGCCATATAGGAGTGCCGCAACATCGACTGAGAGTTTCCGGGCCGGCGCGAGTTGGTGTCACGTGTCCATGCCAAACCTTTAGTCTGTGTATCGGCACCTTGCGGCAGTAGACTATAAAATAATTGATGTAACTACCCTATTTAGCCAAATAGACGTACTCCACTTTTTCTCAAAAAACTAATTATTGGTATCATATAATATGAAGGGTACTGCACATGTGTTAAAAAATATAATTTCTAAAAAAGATCTATAAAAGTTAAGCTATGCAATTGAGTTCTAGAACTCATTGCAAAGGAAAATATTCAAAGATATTCTTGAACTTCAAGAATATCTTTTCCTCAACTTCAAGTTGAAGTAAATATTCCAAGATAAAAACTTATTTCTTGTCGAAAATGCAACTTTATAATAATTTACCTGGTATTATATAGATTATGCTTAGATATTATAATATAATATCTAAGCATTTAAAAACCTTGATATATAATAAATATAAAACTTTGATATATACGTATATTATATATGTATTATATATATATTATATAATTTATATATGTATATATTAAAATTATTGTATCATTGTAGGTCATCACACTATTGTAAGTTTATAACTGTTTGTGACTGAAATATACGATTGGTTGATTGATTTACATCAAATTTATGAGTTAATAGAAATATTGTATTTTAACCATGAACAAATCTTTAATTAAAATTAACCCTGGTGCCCTTGTTTGTAATGAGGCTGAAATCAGTGGTGATGTTTCCATTGGTGTCAAAACAGTTGTTCACCCAAAAGCAAGGATAATTGCGGACAAAGGTATTTGATATCATTTACTTCTTGTAAAATTAGCTATATTGAAATCATAGCAGTTTATAAATATTAAAGCAACACAAAAGCATCAAAAAAAGGATGCTTCAAGTTTTAGTTTTTTGCTAAATTATTTTATTCTAGATCTTGTTAAGTGTTAAACATTTTAGTTAAAAAAAGAAAAGAATATATATATATATATATATATATATATATATATATATATATATATATATATATATATATATATATATATATATATATATATATATATATATATATATATATATATATATATATATATATATATATATATACAATATAAAGTTTGAACCCCCTCAATTTTAGGGGGTTACAAATTTAAGGTCAAAGTTTTTAAATGCTAAGAGATTATTGCATGAAACTTAAAACTTATTGATGATTATAAATTTATTAAAGAATAGTATATTAAATATAATATCAGCTTGTTGCTTTCACATTTGGGGCCGTTGTTGCCAAAATTTAGGGTGCTTTCATTCCCAAACCCAACAAACATGGAAAATTTATAAAAATGCTGGATCGCTTATATATATATATATATATATATATATATATATATATATATATATATATATATATATATATATATATATATATATATATATATATATATATATATATATATACACTCCTAGTCAGTGTTTATCGGATCATGTTTTTTGCTATTCTTCTTTTTACTTTTTTTCTACTATTTTTATCATATTTATATAGTTTTTTAAATTTTTGTTTTATTTCTCTTTTTATTTATACATATTTAAAATCATTATTTTTTTAAAAAAGTTTATTTTTTATATTTATTTTATATTCTTATTTGTTTTTAATATATTATAGTATTTTCATCTATTTACAAAAACAATTAGTTAAAGTAATATAACTATATTTAAACCTTGCTGTAACCCTAACCCTAAGTCTGACTTTGATTCTGACCCTAACCGAACCCTCAGTCAATATAACAGCACTCTCTTACGAGTCAGGCTATTTGATAGTTAATGTATGTACTTTTTGCTGTCTGTTTGTTTTATATTGCCTTATTGCTAAATATTATCTTTTATTTTATTTTTATTGTAAAATAGCTTTGTCTCAATTAGTTAAATTGTCATGATAAAAAGATAAAGTCTCAATTCGAAATGTTTCATCTCAATTGCTTTTTTTTTTTTTACTTTTTAAAGTGTAACTAAATGATTGTAACGTATTATAATTAAATATAGGTTTGAGACATAACTAAAATACATTTCAAACATTGATTTTTTTAACGTTACGTTATGCTTTAATTTGTTGACCTAAAAAAAAAACAGCAAATTTAAATGTGATTTTTAATATAATTGATTCCATAATTACAACTAAAGTACCACAAAATTTCCTTAGTACTTTAATACAAATTAATATAAGGCAATCATTGAAAAAAATATTTAGATAAGAGTTTAAGGCAAAATGAGTACAGAAGCTACCAAAAAATAATTTCAACTAAAGTACCACAAAATTTCCTTAGTACTTTAATACAAATTAATATAAGGCAATCATTGAAAAAAATATTTAGATAAGAGTTTAAGGCAAAATGAGTACAGAAGCTACCAAAAAATATTTACAAACCGTTTTATCATGAAAATATAATTTTTAATAAAGAAATTATTTGCTAAAAAAAGAATTACTATAATCTTGAAACATTCAATCTGCCAACTATTTCTTATCCCAGGGCATGACATCATTTTTTTTAATGAACGTTGACTTGCGTATCTTTATTTATTAAAGAACGTTTAATTTAAGAGATTTATGTCAAATAAATTTCAAATAATTTTTATTCTAAATAATAAGTTATTAAATACATAAAAAATGCTTGGTAAATTTATTCAATTTTTATTTTTCAAAAACTTTTTTTTGAAAATAAAAAATTGAATAAACTACACATTTACAAAGTGCGCGCAAATTAATGGTAAATGCACAGTAAAAAAAAACTTTAGAAAATGTTTTTAACATGCAGACAAACATTATTTCACTTTATGGAAAACAAGAAAATTAAAAAAAAAGGCATGCAAAATTTTAGTTATAATGAATTCATTTGATTTAAACTTTTAATGTTATTGCTAAAAACATAAAACAAACCATACTTAAACATTTATGATTGCTTTCTTCAATAAAAGAAAGGAATCGAAATGCCAAAGCACAGTTTCTTTTGAAGTTTTTGCAAAAGCATTCATTTTAAGTAAAATTATAAATGCTTTTGTGGGCGCATGCAAAAACCATGCTAAAACATAATTACTTTTTTTATTTTACTTAAAAGTGACGCTATTGAAAAAGTAATTATTTTTTGTCGCAATTTTTCAAGTCTCTGAAATTAATTGTTTTTCATTTTAAATATGTGTTTTTTATTATAAACAAAAAACTATTGATCGCAACGAATAAAAAAAAAATGCTGAAGTAATGCGTTTACTTTGAAAAATCTTAATCGAAGGCAATGTTTGCATAAGCAAAATTAAAACGTGATGTTTGTTTTTCTGTCTGTCTTTAAAGAAATACGCACATTTCTTAAAAGATAGACAGAAAGAAATGCGTGCAAAGTTACTTACGTTTTTAAACATCAATTTCTAAAAAAATAAATAAAAAATCTGAGGAGGGGAGGGGGGAAGACGTCCTCATGACCCTTTCCCTCACTCTGGATCCGCCCTTGTATTAGCCTATTTATTCATGGGAAGGAATAATAAAGATTATTAGAGCTGTGATGTTTTTTTTTTACTTTCGTTTATAATTAAGTTACATTAATGTTTTGATTTTTTTTTCTGGTTCTTCCTTTGTTTATTTTATCATTCTTTAAATATTTCATTTTTTTTGCTTAATTTTCGTATTATATGCTTTCTTAAGAATTTTGTTTTCTTTTCAGTTTATGGATTATTTATTTAATTTTAGTTTGCTTTTTTTTTTTTTTTTTAACGCATTTTTTAAATGCGCTAATTATTAAAACTTACACAGAGCCATGGTCAAGTTGTTAAAACAAAGAACTATATGCGTGGTCTTATAAGTTGTGCGATCGCACGCCTCTTACGAGAAGGCCTGCTACGTAACGTAACTTCAAAATGTTATAGGGGTATATATATATATATATATATATATATATATATATATATATATATATATATATATATATATATATATATATCAGCGTGGAAAATAAGGAATTGAAGGCGAGCGGTCAATTCCATCGGCCAACTTAAGGTATTGACGATCAATTGTTTTTTTTGGACGGTCAACATTTTTCTTTTTTCTTTGTTTAAATCTTAGTAATAGTTCTTCATGACTAAACTTATAAAAATATAAAAATAAGTTAACGCTTAAAATATATAAAAATATAAAATATAAAAAAATATAAAAATAAGTTAACGCTTGAAGGGTAAAGAATAAAATTATTTTATTAATAACAATTTTAAATAAAATCAATGTTTTTTTAAAAGCGCATACAAGCAGTTTATAGTTTTTAATTTATTTAAAGATAATTCATTTCATTGCAATGATTTCGCAAATGGTGAGTAAAGCTGTGCGAAAATAATAAATAATAGAAAAGAGTATATGAAGAAAAAAAGTACAGTTGATATTATGTTCTTAATTACATATAATAACTTCGAATAATAATGAAATAAATCTAAGAAGATAAAGAAGAAAAATTTTTGCACATTTTTTTTATCTCTTGCTTATATTAATTATTCTTAATTATTTCAAAAACTGCTAATGTTAATTAATTAATAATGTTTTTAACTCTAGTTTGCAGAAACCAACTAAACTGAATATTTATTCTTAATACTTTAAATTGTTTTAAACATTCGTCTTCTTAAACAATAGTATTAAACAATTTGTTAAATGAAACAAATTTTAAAAATTAAATTTCAAAACATTGAACAATTTGTTAAATATAACACTATAAAAATTATTAAATTTACATAAAACGAAATTAAAAAAAAAATTTATACATATATTTATATTTTTATAATGCTGTTATAAAAAAAAAATGCTCAATTAGTAAAAATAAAAAAGTGCTCGATTAGTAATTTTTAATTTATCTATAAACAGGCTTGGTCGGAAGCAGGAGCGATCGCTCTCGAATACTGACCAAAAAATTTTTGTTTTACGGACATACATGGAAACATAAAAAACTTAAATGTTCTCAAAACATCTTGGTGCGAAAGAATAAAAAGAATATTCACGAACATTAAAAACCCGCCAAATTAACAAACAAACTAATTCTATTGGTTCAAAAAATATGCTGACCAAGCGAAATAAAGTTCTATAGCATTCTGTTGAAATGTTTTAGAAATTGTATTATTCACGATTTGTTATGTTTTGAGATTTCTCGCATAAATCGTATATTGTTTGTTTACAAAAATAAATATTTTAAATATATATTAATTAAATTGTCAAAATTTTAAAAGTTTATTATAAATTATATCTTTTTATTAGTATATTCTTATTTTTTGTTTAAAAAGTATGAATTCTTTATGTAAATGTAATTTTGTGTATCTGTTTTTTATCGTAATGTATCTTTTAAAGCAATTTTTATGATTTAAACAAAGACTTACAAAAATAATTGCGTTTTCAATGAAGTTATAATCGTTAAAGTTAAGCCTGAGGTCACGACAGAACACAAATATATATAGCAAATAATTAGATATAAAGAAAAGTTTCTAGATATTGGTTTACTAACTCTAATTATTTTTGCTTCAGTTGCTATTCTTAAAAACTCGTTATACTTTTTTCTGCTTTAAATACTAATTAAAATTAAAAAGCCCAGTTGATTTATTACAATTAAATACAAAGTTGTCTTTTTTTTTCACAAACCTTTCTAATCTTTCAGCCATAGATGATAATCACTTTTCTAAACTGACATTTCTATTGTTAAGCTTATCATTCATCCTATATATTGTTAAGGTCATCATTATTATTAATTTTATCTTGTAATTTTGGTATATTTTTAAATATGAACATTT